TTTTTCAGTCATGTCTGACCCTCTGTGACTCCATTTAGGGGTTTTTTTGGGGGTGGGCAAAGATACTGGAGTGGTTTGCCATTCTTTTCCAGCTCTTTTTACAGATGAGGAAACTGAGGCCAATAGGGTTAAGTGACTTGCCCAGGGTCACATAGCTAGTAAATGTCTGAGGTCATATTTTTAACTCAGGAAGATGAGTCTTTCTGACTCCAGGCCCAGCACTCTATCTTTTGAGTCACCCAGCTGCCTTTAAACTGAGCTAGTATGTGCATAAGAATTAAGCATCAGATTGAGCTAGAGGCAGTTTAGAACCAACCTCTCAAGATAGTTTTATAGATACATTTCAGATTTATTGTCATTTGTCACCTTTACAAGTGTTTCCACATGGACCTTGGCTTTAGTAGCATTCTATTTCAATCTGTGAGGTTATGTCCTTGCATTTCAAGTTGGCCATAATCCCTCACAGATGTTTAGCTTTAACCTCTTGGTCTTACAGTTTGTAGATATCATTTCTGTATGACATTTTGATGTTTTAACATAACTGGTGGATTTTGTACTTCCTGCTTCTCAAGCCTTTTCTGGTCTTCCTCCAACCCACCTTCCTCATTAGCCTCCAACATCTTCCCGTCTTCCCTTTTCTTACTCATGTAAAATGTTGTGGCTTACAAAGCGTTTTTCTTACAACCCTATGAGGTACATAGTGAAAGTCTAATTATCCTCATTTTAAATATGGGGAAGTTTGAGGGTCAGAGATAGTAAGTGGCTTGCCAAGGTCATGTAGTTAGTAGCGGCAGAGCTGGGAATTCCTAATAGCTTGCAATTAAGGAAATATTGACTAGCACTTCATTTAATGCCATTTAATACCTTTATATTCTGAGTATCAAGGGAGAATTCTACTGGGAGGAACCTTTAAAAAGCCCTACATAATGACTGCCTTGATTTCTACTTACTTTGTGCCAGAGCCTACAAAAGAGCAAAGTCCTGTGAATAAGCCAGAGTAGAATTTGAGATGAGAAGCTCTTCAATCTCTTGTCCCTGTGGTCCTTTGACTGTTCTTCCCTATGAATCCCAATACTGGGTGATGTTTTCTCTCTGTCTTCCCCAGTCTTTTAAAAAATATTTTATTTACTTGCTTTTTGGTGAAGCAATTGGGGTTAAGTGACTTGCCCAGGGTCACACAGCTAGTAAGTGTCAAGCGTCTGGTCTGGGACTGGATTTGAACTCAGGCCCTCCTGACTCCAGGGCCAGTGTTCTACTGCACCATCTAGCTGTCCCTGTCTCCCCCACTCTTAATCACTAGGAATAGGTTTCCTTTGGTTGGTTTTTTTTAGAGCATGCTGACTGGGTCTTATACAAATCCATGCTATCTATTGTCAAATGGGGCTTCATGGATGTGTTTTGCTTAAATCCCTGTCTTGCTCTCAGTTCTAGCTGTGCCAAACCCCCTTGAGGTCCCAATTCTGCTCTTAATTCCTTCAACCTTAGAACATGACTTCATTTCTTAATTTACTAAGAAGAGCGAGATCACGTGCCACGAGCTCCCTTGTTTTCCCAGTATGTGGGGAGTATGAGGGAAAATGTAGCCAGTGCTGGAAAGACTATCTGGGGAAGCTGAGCTATTAGAAGGAAGTCAGGTCTTAGTGAGTTAAAGAAAGTGGAAGGAGTAAGAAAGGAAAAGGTTTAATATGAAAACTAGTTTATTGCCTATGGTGCTTGTATTCCAGAGAACACAGTGGAAGGAGTGGGTATCTTTACAGTGCGATTTATGAGGGGTTGGGTAGAGGGGGAATAGGAATGAGGGAGGAAGTCAATGGGGGATAGAAACAGGACTTGAATAATGACAGCTAGGGATTCAGAGCCCCTGGGATAGGGAAGGTTTGGCTAGGTGGGAGTATGATAGTCATTGGGTAATGAATTCAGGTAGCTTATCATCATTAACAGGGATTCGGGCTTGGGGTGGAGTTGTTCCAGGATGACAGACAATAGTGTGCAGCTGGAAGGCAGGGAGATGGGAAATGATGTATGTAGGAGCAAGGCAACTTCTATGGCATTGCAGGAGGTTGGAAAGGGTTCCTGGACAATAACAGAATCGCTGACCAAAGAGGCTAGGAAACTAGAAAGGTAGCGGGTTCTTCCTCAGAAGTCTTCCAATGAAGGTTACCAATGGTAGACAAGATTCTTCCTGAAGTATAGTTTGGACCAGATGGACCCTGAGATCTCTTCCAATTCTGAGATTCTGTGGCCTATATAAATGAAGATACATCATGCTACAGAGCATCATTTGTGAAAGCATGGTTTCATCAAGAATGTGCAGACAATTCTCATAAAGACTTTATAGAATCATATTACTTGCCTTCTTGATGGGTGGAGGAGGATAAAGGAATGGAGAGAATTTGGAACTCAAAATTTTTAAAAATGAATGTTAAAATAAATAAGGCTTAATTGTAAATAAAAAGGCTAATTTTCAAACTTAGAAAGACTTTACAGAGATGAGAAATCAGGATCAATATGAGGATCAGTAGTTGCTGATGCCATTTTGGTACATGTTGCTACTATATGTATTTTTCGTCATTCTTTTGCTGTCGTCCCTACTTTGAGATCTTGAAAATTTCTTGGTCAGTACCTTTCAAAATTGTGTTGTTTCTAGAATGGATTTCTTCTGCATGTACTTGTTCAGGTCTAGCCACTCCTCTTGACTACCATCTTCTTTAAGTGCTAATTTCACTTCCTCCTATGGCAATTGGGTGCTGAGTCTAAAAGTAGTGGTTCCAACGTCACTGATGATGAGAATAGATTACATAGAAATGTACATCTGTTCCATTTTTGTTTTGATTTGCTCTCCTTTTTGTTTCATCTCAAAATGCTTTTGGGATGGCTTGGGTTAACTGGGTGACATGTTAAGTCATCTCTATGCTTATTCTCCCCTTCGCTCCTTTTAGCCAGTCTTATGAATCCACACTGTTTATTATATTCTCCTTTTCATCTCTGTAATCAGTTTGGAAATGATCATGTACATATGCTGCCCCTTGGCTACCAAGTCTTTCCATGTGACAGAAGATCAAGTGTTTGCTGGATGAAGAAGTTTGGGGACTTATTTGGCTTTCTTGTTGTGACAAATATTTTAGATCGTTTCAACTTGTCTTAGAAATAATTATGTCTTTTGTTGGTTTTCCATTTTTTCTGTTAGTGGTTTTTCCCATAGTTTAGGTTAGAGCTATTATAATTTCAGGCATTATCTTTTTTTCCTGTCTTCCAATTTTTCAGTATTTTTTTTTACTTCTGCTCTAATCAATATATTTGACCGATCACAACCATTTGATTTTGAAATGAGTCATGTCAGGTATTGGTTATTTCCTATGTAGTAAAACATAATCAGTTCTGTTTTTTAAGTTGATTCTTCACCATGTCCATGATCTTCCAACTAAAAGTACACCAGGACACTTGATTGACTTAGCCCATTGAAGCTCAAGTCTCCCAAGCTCAAGAGGTCCACCAGCTTCAGTCTTCCCAGTACCAGGGATTTACAGTTGGCACCACCGTGCCTGGTTCATTTCTTAATCCTAAACTATATTTTCCAAGCCTTTTTTTTGCCATCCTGCTCAGTCTTTACTTTTGTACACCAAGTCACAAAGTATCAAAGTATACATTGACTTGGTTTGGAGTTAAGTTCTTTGTAGATGTTTTGCAGTTTTTCTCTACAAAAGATCCTAGCACATAAGTTGCAACTATTTCCATGTTGATCTTTTTTGCTTTTGCCTATCATTAGTACTATAGGGTGAGATGACTAAGTGATCCATGAATTGATACTTTTTATTGCTTTGGGGCACATGATAGAAACAACTCCACCAACTCCTTCATTTACCTCCCTGAGGAGAACTTGTGACACTTCCTTCCATTTAACTATGAATTCTTTATATGTTTTTTAGTTTCATTTATGGCAAAAAAAAAATTGATATGGTTAAATTCTTCCCATAGTACTGAGTCACTGATTCTTGAAAAAGAAATTTAGTTTCAACAGTTAATGTTCAAGAATGATTTAAAATTAATTGGAGCCCTCTACCTTCTTTTCTGCCCTTCTAGCACCATCACTATGCAAAGATGGACAAACAGGACTAGAGGACACTTTTTTGCTTTTCTTTTTTTCCCTTAAATCACCAGAGTCAAAGAATTCATGACCTATTGCCCAACCTACTGGTGATGAGTCTCTATACTTAGCTAGATTGGCCTTCAGAAGGCAGGAACAATCTGTCACCTGGTTCATATTTGAAACCTTTAAGTCTTGGTAGAATTGCCACAGCCTATCAATATAGGTAATGAATATCCTATTAAAATTATTTTTTGGAGAGATCTGCTCTAAAACTATATGTCATTTAGATTTTTGTAAACCTAATCCCATATTAAATATGCTATTTGCATTGCTATTTAAGGAATTCTAAGGTAACTTATCACACAGTAAAAAAAAAATACTTTTTGCTCAGTGAAAAACAATCTCCTTTAAAAAAAATCTATTCTGATTTCATTCAGACTTCCATATATCAGGGTTAGTTAAGTCAGGGAACATATGTCTGTACAGTCTTCTTTTGCTGGAGAGTTGGAAGATAGGTTTAAGTGCCAGCTCTGACACTAGCTGCATGGCCATGAGCAAATCACTTGTCTTTCTCAGCCTCAGTTTTCCCATCTGCAAAACAGGAACAGTCATAAGCTATCAACCTCATAGGGCTGTGTAAGGAAAGTACTTTAATGCTAAGGGACTGACTGTCCAAGGAGTAGATATTGCTTCTCTTGCTGCTTTTTTGGCAAATTAGCTCCTCATTAACACCTACAGAAGAGGATAGAGAGGGGAAAAAAGGAAGCCAAGATTTGACTTAGGAAGACTGAAAACCTTGGTTATAATGAGGTGTGATGATAACCTATGGGTTTCATAATTGAGATCTCCCAATTACTACTGTAGTGAAAAGGAATTTGACAATCATTATCTCATGCTGCATGGTTTTTCTTACCAGGGGTGCCGAGCTGCCTGCTCACATGTATATCTTTTATTGGGATCTTTTTCCATCAAATTCCTAATGAAATCTTTAGCTGTTAAAAAAAGAAAAGAAGACAGTGAATCAGATTTGTACCTTAAAGCGTGGCTATATGATGTCACCATGCACAGGGATCAAACATATTTGATCAAACATCTCCAAAATCTAACACACACTTGACACTAAATGCAAATAGTACGGTACTAGGGGCAGCTATGAAATAGGCCATCAGAGTAGTCATCGCTGAGTCAATAGCAAAACAAAGACTAGAAGCCGTATTCCTTTGCTTCTGGAACCTAATCTTCTCTACACAAGACTGCACCGTCTCTTATTCAAGGTAGAGAATTGCAGAAATAGTCTTGTCAGGACATCAGCTTGCTAAACTTCAGTGGGATGGGTAAAGTTATTAGGTGTCTAAAATACCATGGACTTCATGCTTTATAATAAACATTACAGAAAGCTGTTTGGTGATGTGTTCCCAAACATTATTTTAAATCAGGGGTAACACTAGTAGTTTATGGGCTGTAAAGGCAGACCAGATTTGGCCCCCAGGCCATAGTTTGCTGACTCACCCCTTTTTTTGATACAGAGAATAAGTAATGTGGCGCCAAGCATTTGAGTTTCACCATTGCACAGCAAAACTCCTCCTGATTTCAAATCTGGCCGCAGACACTTACTAGGTGTGTGACCCTAGGCAAGTGACTTAACCCTATTTACCTCAGTGCCCTCATCTATAAAATGAGCTTGAGAAGGAAATGGCAAAGCACTCTAAGATCTTTGCCAAGACAACCCTAAATGGGGTCACTAAGAGTCAGACATGACTGAAAAACGACTGAACAACAACAAAACAGTAAAAGTCAGAAAACCTGGTGCAGTCCTGGCTGTCTACTGCTCTTGAGCAAAGATGTGAATTCCTTATACATGCTTAACCTGCTACTTTTTTTTAAAAGGTAAAATTAATTTTAAAATTGTTTCATGTAACATTTCAAATGGCCTAATTATTTTTTTCTTCCCCAGAGTCAATCTTTTTTCATCCTAGCAAATGAGTGATGAATTTTCTAGAAATAATATAGAACCATAGATCTAGAGCTTGGAGAAACCTCAGAGGCCATCATGTACAACCCTTTTGTTTGGGTAAAATGCTTATTAAGCATTTACTGTGAGCCCAGAGACTGTGCCCCAGAGGAAGGTGTCTAGTTTTAGCGTTTTCCTCTTCATTTTCATTGGGAATACTGCCCATGGACCCTGGATGAAAATTAGCTTGGGGCCTTATATACAGTTGGCACTCAATAAATGCATGTTGCTTGGACGCCAACATATGAACTGAATAAGTTCTGAATAATTATGCTATTTGTCACTGAAGCAGGGGCAAGTAAACTCCCCATTATCACTGGAATTCTTGGAAAAGGGACAACTTAGATCTAAATTTAGGACATTTGGTTACTTTATCTAAGGCATTTGATGAGGGGGAGTGTTTCCCTCTTAGAAACCCTAGATCAGTACATCCTTTGTGATGTTGACTTAAGTGTAAGCGACATCGGCCAAACCTACTCTCAGTTTTTCCCAGGACTCTCCTGGAGATTCTGGGCATGCATGGTACACAGGGGCTTTCATGAGAACCTCGTGGCTGGTCGGGGGAATCACAGGTGCTGCTCCCTCAGAAAGGCAGACTACCTACCAGAATCTGAGATGTCATCCCAATAGGGGGAGTCAAATTCATATTCTGCCTTGAGGATCTGCTCAAAGAGTTTAGAGTCATTTTCGTCGTAGAAGGGTGGATAACCGCAGAGCCTGAAAGACACATGGTGACAAGGGCCTGAAATGGCTGCATCACAAACAAAACTGGTTTTACATTTTAACCAGAACAAAGGAGATTTTTCATTTCACTGAAAAATGCTCAAAGCCACAAAGATACCCTCGGAAAGCATTACATGCATTTTATGGGCAAAAGTATCGATACAAATTACATTTTAGTTAAATAGCAAGAAGATATTAGTCCTAGTGTTTGATACTCAAAGCAAAAAAATGGACATATTTAGCATTGCCGTAATTTTGTATACTATGGGAGAGAAGGGAACGAGCACTTATAAAGCACCTGCTGTGTGCCTGGCATTGTCTTAAGCATTTTATAAATATTAATTTATTTGATCCTCACAACAACCCTGGGAAGTAGATGTTATTATTATCCCCAGGCTTACAGTGGAAGAAACTGAAACAGAAGTTAAGTGACTTGTCCAGTCAATAAGTGTCTGAGGCTGGATTTGAACTCAGGTCTTCCTGACTCTAGGCCCAGTGTTCTAGCTACTGCGCCACTTGGCTGTCTGTGGGGAGCACAGTTGCAATGCTTTCAAAATCTGTTTTAGTGTAGCTGTTGGAATTGAACCTTGGGACAGCTAGGTAGTGCAGTGAATGGAGCACCAGCCCTGGAGTCAGGAGTTTCTGAGTTCAAATCCAGCCTCAGTCACATAAACACTTCCTAGCTTTGTGACCCTGGGCAAGTCACTTAATCCCACTGCCTAGCAAAAAAAAAAAAAGGCAATTGAACCTGATACTCCAGGTGTTGAATAGTGTATAAGAAAGAACATTCTAACCATGAGATTTGTCTAGAACTGGAATGGCCTGCTGTAGAAGCTAGCATTTTGGCCATTGCTAGAGGTGGCTCAGTGGATACGGCACTGGGCCTGAAGTCAGGAAGATCTGAGTTCAAATCCAGCATCAGACACTTATTAGCTGTGTGACCCTGGACAAGTCACTTAACCTCTGCTTGCCTTAATTCACTGGAGAAGGAAATGGCAAACCACTCCAGTATCTTTGCCAAGAAAACCTCTACAGGGTCAGAAAGAATTGGACATGATGGAAATACTGAATAATCACAATCACAGAGGCATTCTGAGAGTGACTGGATGGCCTTTGTCAGGGATGTTGCACAAAGAACAGAACAGATCAGCGATTCTCAAAATCTGGTCCAGGGACCCAGGGTCAGAACTATTTTCACAATGTTTTAAATTCTAATATGGCAAATTTCACTGGATATACCCCACATAACTAAAGCTCTTCGGAAGGTCCTCAATAATTTGTAAGAGTGTAAAGGGGCCCTGAGACCCTAAATTTGAGAACTGCAAGTCTTGATGACCTTTGAATCATCCATGCCAACTCTAATAAGCTCCAGATTCTTAAAAACAAGCAAAAAAATTGTTTTTCCAATGGCAACTGGCCCATATGAGTAACAACCCCATGCCAGGTGAGTAGAAAAGATGGTGATTAAAGTTAGTTTTAAAAATTGTGTGTATCGTAGTGAAAGGTGGCTGCCTTAAAAAGTGAGCATTGTGGACTGGTACATTTTCATACTTTCTGTAGGCCTCGGGACTCATTTCACTCTAGCAATTAGAGACACAAGAAAGGGAAACTGCAAAATTGAGGTTACAGAGTAAGTACAGGTTCACTTGAACAGAGGATTACTCATCACCCCTGCTTGAAGGGTTATGGTTTGCTTCTTTAATAATAATGTTCTAGGGATTATCAGTATCTCTAATATTGTCACCTGTTGGAGAGAATAGCACCAGTAATTAAATCTGAACTATTTCAAAGCAAATTTTCTTTAACTTATGAGAATCAGTCATCCTAAACTCTTCCTTCTCCTTCTTACTCCCATATTTCATTAGTTTCCAAGTCTTAATGATATTGCCTCCATAACATGTTTTGAATCTGTCAACTCCTCTCCACTCACATAGCCAGTATTTCCTCATCTCTTGTCCAGACTATTGCAAGTAAACATTGAATGAATGAATGACTAAAAAGTATTTATTAAGTACTTGCTTATACCAAGCATTACACTGAAAAGGTTGGGAGATAAATCCAAAAGTGAGATATGCCATGTGCTCAAGAAGTTTATTTTCAAAAGGAAGAAATGACATATTTAGGAAGATGGTGGCCCTAGAAGAGTGTTTTGGTCTGGGAAGTCATAGGAATAGTAAGTATAGCCAGTGGGGAGTTGATTGGCATACCCTCAGCCCCCCTCCCTCCCCCACCTTCTCAATCTCTAGCCTCCTTCAAGGCTCAGCTGCTTACCTACATGCAGCCTTTCCTCATTCTTCTAATTGCTCATACTGCTTCTTTCCTTAAATTAACTTGTGTTTATTTATCTGCTGACATGTATGTCCCAGGAGAATACAAGTTCCTTGAGGAATAGGGAACTGCCTTTCTATTATTGGTTTGGGGTTCATAAGACCTAACATCATGTCTTGCACACTGTAGATAATTAATAAATATCAATGGTATGTAATACTCAGATCAAGTATTAAATGACAATGTTTTGGTCTGTTATCCATGGAAATCTTGCTCTGGAAATCCTACCTAACCATGACTAGGGGTTCCACTGGATTCTAGAAGGCCATGCTAGTAGAACACAAGGGCTGATGGGTCTTATCAGGTTGGAAAGGCTTTGAAACAACTAACTCTTTTGTCTCATATAGTTTTCATTCATGATTTCTTGAAATATAGCTCTGGTAAACCAGGCTTTGATAAAGCCCATTGGGATTCAAGTGGAGCTATTTGACTATGCCTTTGAACCCAAATCACTCTAGCTCTCACTAACTGGTCAATGATAGGTCCCAGCCCAAGCCTCACTTGCTCATTGTTTGGGTTTTGATGGCTCAGAGTGAGTGTAAATAGCAATTGTTTCTTCTCCATCCAGACTGATTCTTTTGGGAAGTCAAACTAGGCCATCTTTTGCCTCAGCTCTCACCTAGCCTTAATCAATCACTGAGACCTGGGAAAGACCTTAGCTTAAAAAGGACAGGGTTTCCCACTGCATCTGGGTTCATCACCAGTCTTGACTTAACTCTTGCTGCTGGACTTTGATGACTATAGAGAAGAGAGTGAGGCTGATGACTTTGCACAGCCCTGCCTCACCTACATTCACTTGCAAGTCATCACCCTCCTGATGTCATTAGTCCTCTTTAAGAATGAAGGACAAACAACAACAGCACATTTTGAGAAAAAAAAACTGTTTATAATAGGGAGGTAGTGTGGTGCAGTAGCAAGGGTGCCTGGGATTTAGAGTCAGAAGCCCTGAAATTGAGTTCTGGTTTGGCCATTGTGTCTGTATTGCCTTGGACAGATCATTTAATCTGTCTGAGCATTAAGAGATTTATCATCTGTAAAATGAGGAAGTTAATGAGATAGCCTCCACAGTCCCTTCCAATTCCAAATCCATTTTTACCATCTTTGAATGCAAACGATATACCAAGAAGTTTCAGGGGTAACTTCTTATACTGCATTTTGGAAATATGGTGCTTTCTTTTATTTAAGTAACAGACAATACAGTGGAAAGACCACTGAACTGGGAACAGAAGAGCTAAGTTCTAATTTCACCTCTGCTGTTATTTAGCTGTGTTGCTTTGGGCAACCTACAATTTCTCTGGACTTCAGTTTCTTCATCTGTAAGATGAGGGGTCTGGGCTATGTAATCTTTAAAGTACCTTCTAGTTTTAGTAATCTGTGGTCTTTTTTGTCATTATTTATAAAGGTAGCTGTAAAAAACTTTTAAAAATGACTTTGGGCATGCTGGAGTGACCACAATGCAGAGGAGGACAAGCATACTGGTTGCTGGGTTTTGAATCTACAGTAGGGCTGGGGCAGGAGAGCCACTTTCAGCTGGAAGTAGTCAGTGGTGATCAGGATGGGAGAAGGCAGACAGGCTTAATTCTGGAAGCTGGGAAGTAAACAGTTGAGGGGCTTGAAAATCTGGAGATTTGCAGCCAGTGGGAGAGCATGCCCAGAAACCAAGTCATAAATCTTTTTGTAAAGCCGAGCTTTATCAAAGATACTGCCCCAGTCTAGTTTAATAAAACAAATAAGCAGGCATCAACAGGTCCCTGGCCTCCAAGGAATTAGGCTATGGGCAAATAAGAAATTTATTAAAGATCTGAAATACAGCTTTGTTACTCTAATTCTTCAGGCTCACACAGCCAGGAGACACAACACCAGCTTGGTACTACTAAGAAGAAGGGTTAGACATTTTTACTGACTGCAAGCTGGGCTGAAAAGAGTCAAAAACCATTTATTCTAGTGAGATTTATTTAGAGAGTAATTGCCTGGAAAATTTTAATTTGGGGCATTTGTTGTTCCTTGTTGAGTGGGTGGAGGGCAGAGACAGACAGACAGTAATGGACAGACAGAGAAAGACTCACAAAGAAACTAAAAGAAAAAAGAGGAGTTGAGGTGGAAGAAAAGCATGCTTTGAAACCACTAAGCATGTATTGATGTAAGCTTTAGTCAGCCAAAGGAATTCAGGACCAGGGAGACTTGATACTTAAATATTTCCCATGATGAGCATTTGGTCTAATGTAAGTATATCTAATGGGAAAGGCAGACATAAGGAAATGTGAATCCATCTTTTTAAAAAATGCCAAGATTTTGGATAAGTGAGGTTTTGTTCCTCAGTGTGTTATTATGGTTCATTTCATTATTTGTGTTCTTTTCCAAAGAGAAGTCTTCAGGAAAATTCTAAGAAAGATTCCTCTTGTATTAAATATCCTAGTGTGTTCCTCTGGATTCTGGCTTTAGCTCTTTATTACATAATAATGCTTCTGTCTGAGATGACAGATGCAGTGGAAATGGACGTATAACTTGGAAACAAGTACATTATGTGAGAAATTAAGGAAGAATGTTAAAATAGCAGAATGGGTAACCCACCAAATTTTGGTCTCTTTCCTCCTTTTAAAAATGATATAAGAGAAGTAGCTATGCAGTCATGCTTTGAGGCAAGAGGATGGAGGAGATGATAGCTT